CAGGAATTTCCTGATGGTTAAATTTGCTTCACTGAAACTCTACACAGTGAGAACAAAGCAGCCTGTTGTTCATCCTCTGCCCCCCTCTCCCCCTCCCTTTTTTGAAAAGTGGGACAGTTACAGTTCTTACCTGACACAGATTCTCGGGGTGTCTGTCGTCTCAGTCGTGTTCTGTGAGTGGTGTGAGTCGAAGGTTCTCCAAAGCTCTATATACCCTGTGACAGAAGTTTCTAGAAGTGGGAATGGGGTATTCAAATGAGGCAGTCTCTGAGTTCCTCAGAAAAGTTGGGAAGTGGGACGTCCTACGGGCTGGAATGAGAGGCGTCGGCCCAAGTGCTGGTCTGAGCTCAGCACCGGAACTTTCCCACACATGGACAGTTCACATGAAATCTGACTCTGGATCAGTTGTGGTCGACTTGCAGAGCTGGTCCATGGAGTCTGTGTTCTTGTGTTGCTTTCTGATTTAATATCCCACTCTGGTTTCATCATGAAGGGAGATATAAAAAAACAAACTGCACTGACACTGGAACAGGGAGATGTTGTTTGTTTGGTTTTTTTACATAAGAAATCACAGAGTTTCAGCATCACTGTTGTTTCTCCAGGACTCAGTCCTCCCCACAGCCTCCTCTCACACCACACCAGTGAGCCTCACCAACAACAACAGCCCACAGACTGGACCAGCAGAGATTTATGACCAGTGACCAAGTCATTGAACTGATGTCTGGTTGTTCAAAGGGAAACTTCCAGAAACTCTTAAAAACTACACCCGTTAAAGTAATGCCTTAAGGAAGTTGCAGGATCTTAAACCCTGCCCCCGGATCCCACCTCCACTCCCACCAACAGAGTGCCACGTTGTGCAGCTCGGCTGCTCACTGCAGGGTGGTGGGAGGATGGGGCCGTGATGGAGGAGCGCTGTCGTTAAAGCTGATGTGTCGTTTCAGGAACGCCTCTCTTAATTTGCACCGTGACTCAAAAAATAAACGTCAGAAGAGAGAATTTTAAATTCACAGCATCTTCAGACGAAGATAAAAACCAAACAGTGGGTCACGTGAACGTGTCGTGGTTTACTACCACACTAACTCAGTCTAGGTAGTTATATTAAAGTTTTTAAAAACATGTTTTATGCTGTAACTGCACAGTCCAGGTGGAACGACGGAGGAATTCCATCAGACTCTAATCCTCCAGCTCCACACCTCTTTTACAGCTCTCACCAAATTGTCCTGACATGCCAGCTGAAGTGTGACCTGCCCTCCCCCCTGTGGGTGATCGGGGGAGGTAACCACCAGGTTGCTGGTTTAAGACTGATGAGGGGAAATCAATCTATCTATCCATCTAATGGCTGTACAACAGAGCTCGACTGGTGACTGTGTGACCTTTTATATATATTATTTTCTATTTTGTATCATTTTATTTTAAAAAATCCAGGTCAGCTGTCCCTGCACTCCTGTGAAGAGGGTGTTTGTTTACTTTATTTGTTTAACTCCCCAGGAGCCCCAGGCACATTCCTCAGTACGTGTTAACTGGGGGGACAATCAGGGGGTCAAGCATGTCTGGTCAAATACCCCCGAATACCCAATGTCTACTAAAGCAGAACCAGGAGTAGATGAAAAATAAAATAAAGTAGAGCTGGAAGTGAGAAGGAACAGAAGTAAAATATTTTAAAGATGAGTCCAATCTATCTATCTGTAGATAGATATGTTAGCTAGCTAGCTAGATTGATTGACAGATAGATAGACACTATCTATCTATCTGTAGATAGATATGTTAGCTAGCTAGCTAGATTGATTGACAGATAGATAGACTCTATCTATCTATCTATAGATAGATATGTTAGCTAGCTAGCTAGATTGATTGACAGATAGATAGACTCTATCTATCTATCTATAGATAGATATGTTAGCTAGCTAGCTAGCTAGATTGACAGATAGATAGACTCTATCTATTTATCTATCTATCTATCTAACTAACTAACTAACTAACATATACAGTAGCAGTAGAGCTATATGCTAATGATGCAACATTTCAGCACATATGCAACATTTCAGGACATCTTGTAGCTTCCTGTAGGTCCTGGACCAGAGCCACAACCACGTCTCTCAGATTGTCTCCGCCACACAGTGTGACGTGCTAGCAGAAATAGCGGATCTCCGAGGGCGGAGCCACTTTGTCCATAACCACTGCAACAAAGTGCTACTTGAGTACGGGAGCTCATTCAGCATCTGCACGTCATTACTCTAACCACAGCCACTGTTTTAGTCCGCTGCGACCTCAGCCAAGGCTGTTTAAATTAGTTACAACATAAAAGTTTGTTGTTTTGTTTTTTAATCTCTGCATGTACTTAGAGAACGTATGTTGTACTTGGGTACAGTACAGGTTGTACTTTACACCCACACTTTACTGCTCCAACAGGAACAGGCCATTATTACAGGAATGCAGGAATTTCCTGATGGTTAAATTTGCTTCACTGAAACTCTACACAGTGAGAACAAAGCAGCCTGTTGTTCATCCTCTGCCCCCCTCTCCCCCTCCCTTTTTTGAAAAGTGGGACAGTTACAGTTCTTACCTGACACAGATTCTCGGGGTGTCTGTCGTCTCAGTCGTGTTCTGTGAGTGGTGTGAGTCGAAGGTTCTCCAAAGCTCTATATACCCTGTGACAGAAGTTTCTAGAAGTGGGAATGGGGTATTCAAATGAGGCAGTCTCTGAGTTCCTCAGAAAAGTTGGGAAGTGGGACGTCCTACGGGCTGGAATGAGAGGCGTCGGCCCAAGTGCTGGTCTGAGCTCAGCACCGGAACTTTCCCACACATGGACAGTTCACATGAAATCTGACTCTGGATCAGTTGTGGTCGACTTGCAGAGCTGGTCCATGGAGTCTGTGTTCTTGTGTTGCTTTCTGATTTAATATCCCACTCTGGTTTCATCATGAAGGGAGATATAAAAAAACAAACTGCACTGACACTGGAACAGGGAGATGTTGTTTGTTTGGTTTTTTTACATAAGAAATCACAGAGTTTCAGCATCACTGTTGTTTCTCCAGGACTCAGTCCTCCCCACAGCCTCCTCTCACACCACACCAGTGAGCCTCACCAACAACAACAGCCCACAGACTGGACCAGCAGAGATTTATGACCAGTGACCAAGTCATTGAACTGATGTCTGGTTGTTCAAAGGGAAACTTCCAGAAACTCTTAAAAACTACACCCGTTAAAGTAATGCCTTAAGGAAGTTGCAGGATCTTAAACCCTGCCCCCGGATCCCACCTCCACTCCCACCAACAGAGTGCCACGTTGTGCAGCTCGGCTGCTCACTGCAGGGTGGTGGGAGGATGGGGCCGTGATGGAGGAGCGCTGTCGTTAAAGCTGATGTGTCGTTTCAGGAACGCCTCTCTTAATTTGCACCGTGACTCAAAAAATAAACGTCAGAAGAGAGAATTTTAAACTCACAGCATCTTCAGACAAAGATAAAAACCAAACAGTGGGTCACGTGAACGTGTCGTGGTTTACTACCACGCTAAGTCAGTCTAGGTAGTTATATTAAAGTTTTTAAAAACATGTTTTATGCTGTAACTGCACAGTCCAGGTGGAACGACGGAGGAATTCCATCAGACTCTAATCCTCCAGCTCCACACCTCTTTTACAGCTCTCACCAAATTGTCCTGACATGCCAGCTGAAGTGTGACCTGCCCTCCCCCCTGTGGGTGATCGGGGGAGGTAACCACCAGGTTGCTGGTTTAAGACTGATGAGGGGAAATCAATCTATCTATCCATCTAATGGCTGTACAACAGAGCTCGACTGGTGACTGTGTGACCTTTTATATATATTATTTTCTATTTTGTATCATTTTATTTTAAAAAATCCAGGTCAGCTGTCCCTGCACTCCTGTGAAGAGGGTGTTTGTTTACTTTATTTGTTTAACTCCCCAGGAGCCCCAGGCACATTCCTCAGTACGTGTTAACTGGGGGGACAATCAGGGGGTCAAGCATGTCTGGTCAAATACCCCCGAATACCCAATGTCTACTAAAGCAGAACCAGGAGTAGATGAAAAATAAAATAAAGTAGAGCTGGAAGTGAGAAGGAACAGAAGTAAAATATTTTAAAGATGAGTCCAATCTATCTATCTGTAGATAGATATGTTAGCTAGCTAGCTAGATTGATTGACAGATAGATAGACACTATCTATCTATCTGTAGATAGATATGTTAGCTAGCTAGCTAGCTAGATTGACAGATAGATAGACTCTATCTATTTATCTATCTATCTATCTAACTAACTAACTAACTAACATATACAGTAGCAGTATAGCTATATGCTAATGATGCAACATTTCAGCACATATGCAACATTTCAGGACATCTTGTAGCTTCCTGTAGGTCCTGGACCAGAGCCACAACCACGTCTCTCAGATTGTCTCCGCCACACAGTGTGACGTGCTAGCAGAAATAGCGGATCTCCGAGGGCGGAGCCACTTTGTCCATAACCACTGCAACAAAGTGCTACTTGAGTACGGGAGCTCATTCAGCATCTGCACGTCATTACTCTAACCACAGCCACTGTTTTAGTCCGCTGCGACCTCAGCCAAGGCTGTTTAAATTAGTTACAACATAAAAGTTTGTTGTTTTGTTTTTTAATCTCTGCATGTACTTAGAGAACGTATGTTGTACTTGGGTACAGTACAGGTTGTACTTTACACCCACACTTTACTGCTCCAACAGGAACAGGCCATTATTAAACTTTTGATGTTATTAAATGACGTACTGGTTATTCTATATACTGGTTGAATTACTCTGTTTTAAAGTTTATATTCTTCAACAGAAATTTATTTGAGTTAAAAACAAAAACATTAAGTAAATTATGTTTTAATTCCAAAGGAAAATGCATTATTGAGTCTATGATTTTTAGAATTTAAAAAATGATGATTTATAAATGATATGTAATTTTATTTTTACTCCATAGTCTGTTATGCAGTGTAACACGCTATTGTTCAATGAGCACGCCACCAAGTGGCAAAGGATTTACCACAGCCATCAAAACCAACTATGTATTATTATTAATATTTTACTTGATTTTAAATTAAAATGAGTTATAAACACTCAATATTTAATATCTAGTTTTTTGTTTTATTTATTTATTTATTGTTTTGTGTTAAAAGACGTAAATGCAACAGTTTTGTCTTGTTGGTGACACCTCTTGTATTGTGAAAGGTTGGCCACTAGATGGCGTAAAAAGCAACCATATAGCTATTGAAGGTTTTCAAATGAAATTTGCATCGATTTTTTTTCTTTTTGTTTCTCCATGCTGCCTTCAGAGGCCAGTTTTTACATTTTATGCAATATTTAATAATGTATTATATATTGAATTAAAGGGAGAAAGATGTGAGTCAGCTGACCTGTAGACCGCCCCCTACTGCCTGTGATCCTGCTGGGATTTTAAAAGGATGGAGTTCAAAACAGTCCCGCACCTGGAGTTTGTGACTGATGCAAATCAGTGGTGAGTGGAACAAGGGGAGTCCAGGTCAGCCACATCAAACACAAATATTGACCCAGTTTTGTTTTGTTTGTTTTTTGGTTTTTTTTTTGTTTGTTTTTTTTTGTTTTTTGTTTTTTTTTAACCACCTGTCCGGGTGCATGAGGAGACAATGACAGGTTGTGTGTCTGTGAGTGGATGCAAGGAAACAAGGACAGTGATTTAATCTCTTCGTGACAGGAACAACACAACATCTCTTATCTGACAATGTAATTTTGTTGCCGTTTCCTTGGTGAAAAATCTGAGCTTTTTCCTTCTTTTTTTTTTCCTTCGAACTACAGTTTCTGTTTGACACGTTGATATTAGAGTCCATGTAGTTAAACTGACCTTATCTGAAAACACTTCATACAATGTTGCCTGATGAGTCACCGAGACCTGTCGACCATCTGACATGTTTACATGATGACAGTATGACTCAGTCTGGCTGTATTCTCTGCTTACAATAAATTCAGAACTCTAGTTAGCTGGTTTCTTTGTAACTGCGGAGAAAAAAAAACATTATGTGAAAATGTGCTTTTTTTTCCTACCTATCTCTCTGTACCACTAATAAATGTAGTTTATTATGTGTCATTATCAGCAGAGTACATGCTGTTAAGGTTCTAAGAGACTGATAAAATTGATGTTGGCTTAAAGGGCAGGGTTTGACCTTTCATCATGTTTATGCTGGACATGTTACAAAGTGCAAGATTTAAAGGAACAACAACATAGTTTTTTATCTATCAACAAAATCCTTTTGCATTTGCTTTAATGAAATAGTTAAACGAAGCAAACTCATTAATAATAATACAATAATAAGATGAATGAAAATTATTTATTAAGATATTTCAAAAACATGTCTGATCACACATTGAAAGAAACAAAATTTAATTAAATAAAAACACATCTCACTTAAATTTTATAATTGTTTACGTGTTACATGAACAAATTCTATAAATAATGTCATTGACGGAGTCATACCGCACAAAACATATAAGAAAACAAATGGTAGCCCTCAGTTATAAGAATAATTTAATCAATTTTCGTTTGTCTACTATGGGCTACTGTTGGAGCATGGTGATCCAACATGGCTACATCGAGAAGCCCCACTTCCGATTTAAATTATAAAGGGCTCATTGTCAAGAATTCTCGGCAAACATTTTTACAATTTTGGGGAGCGAGTATATAGTAACGTATAAGGCAAATTGTATGAATTTAGTATTTAATTTATACCGGGAGAAATTTTATTTAAAAATATTTAGGCTAACTCAACACCGTGTACCTTTAACGGGCAGCGTTTTGCTGCGTTCAGGTTACATAGGAATTTCTTTAGTGTAGTTTAAGTGTAGAGCTTATTAGAAAAGACTCGTTTATGTGTCTGAAACACAAGAAAGAGCTTTTAAAATCATAGGAAAAAGCAGATATATTTAAGATTATACAAACACAATTTTAAAAAGTAATAATATGAGGTAGGGAATAAACCAGCACTCTGTCATCCGCTATGTCCCTGAACGCGCCGAGCGGCGGTAACGTGAGCTCCCCCCACCACAGCAGACTGCATTGAAGCAGCCACTCTCACTCACTCGCTCCTCGCAATGTTCAGAAGGTGGAATGACTGCCGGTGTGTGTCACACAGAGACGAGTAAAAAAACAAAACGGAGTAAAGTGTACGAAGACCTGAGATTGAATTTGTTTTAGTCGGTGGATAACTCCGTTTACCGCCTTTCTCCTCGGCGATTTTAAAAAAAAACAATCAACAAAACTTCGCTTCTGTCAGCGTTGAGCTCACCGGTGAGCTGCTCACCTCCCGGCCGTTACTTCTAAAACGGGTTGTCCTGGCTTGACTCTCAAAGGTGGAGTTAAAAAAGAAGAAGAAGAAGAAGAAGAAGCAGCGTCGGACACCTGACCTTCACATAAGTAAGAGACAAGTACCAGTAACCGACAGGTGAGTTAATTTCGTGTCGTCTTCGTTACAATTGTGTTTAACATCTCATTTCTGTCGGTTAAAACAACACTGGATTAATCAAATTCCGCGCACGTGAAGTCAAATAAGGTAACAAGTCTTATTTTCTTAGTGTTTTGTTTTTTTGTTTGTTTGTTTTTGTTTTTTGTCGTCCCTGTATGTTTCTTTCTGACATCTGAGGACACACCCAATATGCGTTATCTCAGTGAAGCAGTTCTACTCTCTTTTTTTAGGAGGTATTTGTTGATGATGGGAACCAACCGAGTTTCTCTGTTTATTTTTTGCCACTAGAAAGAGGATACAATGTAAAGCTACACAATGTAATTTTAAAGCCGTAGAGGTCACTGTTGTTTGAACCACTATTAACTCAGTATTTCCATCCACCTGCATAATTTATGACACCACATGATTGAATGGGGATTTGCCATTTGCAGGTGCATTAGCAATATGGATGGGGTACATTTTGTTATCTTTGTCTTATCTGTTAGCATAGAGACACATGCGTCTGATCTGAGGAGAAGGTCTATGTTCTCCAGCGTGTTCCGTGACACCTCTCTTTACCACATTAAAGAAGAAATCCATCAGTCTTAAAACACAAATTGTTCTCCATGGAGGTCAAGAAGTGTAGGGGGGGTAAAAAGGAGAACATGTGGTCCAACATGGTTTTTCCTCTCCGACTTGTCCCATTAAGTCCTTGTAAACGCAGCCCAGCTGTCGAAAACTAATTCACACCCATCAGTTAAAAAAAAGCTGGTTTAAACTAGTGCTTAAACTGCTGTCATCCAGGTCATCATCATAATCTTAAAAAGCAATTTAAAAAAGTAGGCAACTGGACTCACCTCAAGTAAGTTGAAGACGTTTCGCCTCTCGTCCAAGAGCCTTCTTCAGTTCAACTGAAGTATTTTCACATACTGAAGAAGCCTCTTGGGTGACTTACTTGAGGTGAGTCCAGTTGCCTCCTTTTGAATTGCTTTTGAGATTGCTCATACTGATGTAAATTGCGATTGATTGTTATGTATATCCAGGTCTAATGACTCTGCAAAGCACAGAGGTATTTTACAGCTTATACAGAGGGTAGAGGTACCAGTGGAGGCACAGTATTGTTGTGAGTTGTTTAGAAAGTGGATGTGGTATCAGACCACCATAGCTGTGTGGCCTGTGTCTGACCCAAAGATTTCTTCTTCTGGTTGTTTCCATTTAAAACCTCTACAACTTGTGGTTGGCGCTAATATCTCTGCCTCTCTGTTAAGTATTTCCGTGACCCAGCTGTGTGCGGTACGGTTGTCTTCTACCAGCCAGTTTCTTTGTGGCGTGTTCCCCTTAAAACGAAAGATCAAAATGGTGTCATTAACTGATAAATGTGGTCAGAGGCAGCAACTGACAGTCGTGCCAAGGTTTAGTTGCTGCCCTGTTTGCACACAAACGTATTTACCGCCACATATGACTGACATCATCAGCCCAGATGTTGGTAAAAATCAGATGAACACAGATTTATACGTCAAACCTTTTGTAGCGTTAGGACATTTTACTAAAAAGTATTTTATTCTAAAATAAAATTTAAAAAAAACCTAGAGGTGTTAACTCAACCTCTAGATGAAATTAATCGTTCTTATCCATTCAATAAAAAAAAATCCCTGTTCTTGACAATTTGACAATGAAGTGTGACTGTGTTCATTCTCCCTCCGTGACCTTATTTCAAAATGTATTTTCTGGTAGGTGCTTCATGTCAAGGACTCCCTACATTTTGAGTGGTCCTCACGTGTTACGTTAAAAGCTAATCCATGTCAACAGGTTGTCTGATATGTTTTTCTTGCTCATTGCAGTTCTCTGTGTAACTAGCATTTTTGTCAGGCACACCAAACACAGTCACATCTGTTATCACATGAAGCCTGAGGAACCGTTGTATGTGAAAATACTTGAAGGCTGCCAGTTTTTCAAAGCAGACCACCTGGCACCAACACATTTGTTACCGTTAGATTCCTGAGATTGTACGTTCCTGAGAACTCTAACTGAACCCGAAGGTCTGATTCTGCAATATTGTTTTGCATAAGTGACGAAACAGAAGCTAAACTGGTTGTCCTCCTGTTTTTTCTGTTCTTTTTGTTTTTTAGTTCATGAGCTGTTTGTCTCATTATATGGTATTGTTTATTAGAAATACATTGACATTTTACACCTACTCAAGCCACATTGCGCAGGATATGTACCGTAGTTAATTAATATATGAGACAAATCTATTAAAATTATTTGACGTTAACCAATTATCCATGAGAGGTAAAATCATATAAGAAAAAGTACATTAACCAATTATCCATGAGAGGTAAAATCACATAAGAAAAAGTACATTTTCAACATATATTTTTACACTGTTCAACAGTAGAAATGTTAAAAATATGGTGAAAACTCTCATGCAACAGTATCAATATATTATATATATTTTCAAACTGTATTGTGTCAGTATGCCTTCCTGCAAATTCCCTTTTGACAATATGAAAATAGTAACTTATTTTCCTGCCCTCTGTGTCATTCTCTTCTTCTTGAGATTTTCCTCCTTGAACATGGATACACCCACACATTGAACAGCCACACTTCTTTTTTTTGTTGTGTTTTTCCAGCATTCTCATACTGTATATTATTTTAACCTGTAGTCAGACTTAATACAATGTGTCATTTTTTTTGTGTGTGCGATCATATTAGTGGATGTAAAATCTCAAGAGCTGAAAACCTTAACTTGAATTCCCATAGGTCTGCTACAGGCTTTAGTTTACTGTCATTGCTTGTTTGCAATTTGAGCTCCCTCCACGTCCATACACTGTGACAAGGTGGGAGGCGTGCAGCTATTTGACCATAGCTGAGGTTACCCTTTGAAACAGAGCCACAATACAGCCTTGACAGGATAACAAGTCTGCCTATTTTTCTTTCTGTCTTGATAATCTTCCCACCACCTAATACCCCTTCCCCACAGTACCCAGAGACTGGCGTCTGTCAGTGAGAAACGCATCGATTTAGTGAGATCAAAATACCTGTTCCTGGTTCTCCAGAGCCTGCATCATTCTCCATCACTGCTTTCAAACTGTTGTCATCTTGTTGTAAATATTGATGTGCAATCCTTTGGCCATAATATGTACAACCTGTAATTACTAGCTTTTATACCGCAAACCAGTTTTGATATGATTTTCCCAACAGGATTAAAAAAAAAGTACATTTTAATTTGGTGACAGATAGACAAGGCCGAGTTAACACGTGAAACATGCCTCCGTCCCTCAGACAGTTGGGACAGCGGAGGACAGAGCTCGGTGTAATGTCAACACACAGATGGTGTGAAGAGCCCTCTCACAGACATACAGATGGCCCCCAGATAAAACATAGCCGACGACATGCTGTTTCCTCAGTCCAAGACTTTCATTGTCCGAGGAGTTATGTTTTCTTTGTCGCCCGTTAGCTTAGTTAATACAACGTTAAACCAATTCATGTCTCACCTAACCCTCCATCAGGAGACAGAGATGATCGGATTGACATGTACAGTATCTGTTCAGTAAAGTTTTTCAGGTGTACGACGTGTTATCAAGATTATATTTGTAGTACTAACTTCTGGTGATGAAACAGAGACTTATCTTGCCAATGGTGTCGTCCATTTGTCCACACAGTATACCCGTGGTTCCCAACTTGTCTCTGCGTGCCGGAGATGTTTCTCCTGGCTCTGTCCTTAACCTCTGTACTGTAAGTTTTTGGTCGGAATACTTTCTTTCTGGTCACAACATTTTTAGCATTTTTGTGTTTGACTTCCAAAACTCAAACCTAAATTCCATGGCAGTACACTCTCCTGGGATGCCTTTATTTATTTCATTATTTATTATTCATTATTTTTGCTCTGTGTCGTACAAAACAAACCATTTTAATGCAGCGGCCGAGAGAATTGGAGGATTTATGGAGCTGGTCAGTGCGCAGACTGATTTGAACAAATGTATTTGGAACACCATTTTTGTAAGCCGCAGGAAAGTTTCCAAAAATATCTACATTACACTGATTATTAAGCCGCAGACCATTTTGTAAGCCTTTGGAGATTTAACAGACATTTTAATTGCTGGAACAGGCTGTTTTGCTAATGGAAGCGGCTCGTACGCCAGACGAGCGGAGAACAGTAGTTGAAAGCTCAGCCCTCTGTCACTGCTCGGGCTTTAATAGTCAGCAAAAAGGAACATCAAATACAAAAGAAAATGAGGCAATAATAAAGTCATGTAAAACGCTTTAATATTCTCACCCTGAACATGTGTGTTTCCACATTAAAGTTACGTTTCATCTCAAAGGATCCAATCTGATAACTGAATATTCCCTTTGAAAAAAAACGAGACAGTGAGACGTGCGGCAGAAAAATACAGTGAGTGGTTGACACTTGGTTTCACACAGTCCCCAAGGTGACAATTATTTAAATTGACACACCACCAGCTGACTATGCAACAGCTCTGCTACTTCTCAAAGGGATGGTTTTAAGCCTAACAAAACACAGCTGGGGATTTACATGTTTTCTATTAAAAAAAAAAGAGTTTCTGGGTGGTCCATTATTCCCATACAGTTTATACGTATTCATGTAATGATGGGCCACACGTCTGTTCTTTACTGGACTTTAACGCTGAAACGAGGCATCATTAATCTGTCAATATCTCGTTATTGTTTTCTTATTCTTTATTAGTGTTTTCCTGTTTCTGTATTAAACCCATCTATCAAACCCTGCCTACCATCGTCAACGGGTTGGCACCACGTCTTGTCTGATCGGCATTTACTTGGCTTTGAGACCTAAACAGTACTTTATTATAAAGCCCTTTAACCCTAGGTTTTAAAATTAATGTGGGATGTCATGTAAAAATATGCAAATCATTTCCATTTGGTTGCTCGTATAAAGCGTTTTTTATTCTTCGTTATTAGAGGGAAAAAAAAAACAGTTCAACAATTATATGGTGAATTTCCTTGATCCCTGTTAACCCTCTGGTGGTGAATGTTGCCAGAGCAGTTTGCTTTTTTTTTTAACCAACAATTATTTGTGAAATCCCGGCACGGCCAGTAGTGTGAGCAGAAAGGACATTACACTCGGAGTCCTGGTGTGAGCGTCCTGTTGTATACTCTGTCTTTTTTGTCAGAGCAGAATGTTCTTTCACCAGCGTCTCTTGAAAAGTGTGTGTTAAATTCTGACTTTTCCACTTTGCTCTCGTAACTTTTCAGAGACAGAAACCTAGGAAGTGTCTTATGAAGCTGAATATTTACTGTGATCCTCTTTTGTTTGATTGAATTCAAGTGCAATGCATTTTTATAATTACTTGCATCAAGGGTTGGTGATGGAAAGCCTTTGTTTGAAGCAGAAAAAAACTAAACGTTGGATTATAAAGCACCTGATGTTTTAACATAACATGGTTTTTTAAAGGTCGCTCATCTTTTGTGAAAGTTCTTTTTTTATGCCAAAAAAAGTTCAACTTGACTTTGCTTCAAAAGTCCTCAGCCCATTCGTCTTTCAGTATTCAGTGAAGCTTCAGCTAAATCAGGTTTTTATTTTTAGTCAACATTTATTTATAAACCACGCGTGTCTGTGTCTGTGCCATGCTGAAATAAAACAGCTGGAAACAGAGGAACCGTGTAATGAGGTTCTGTTTCCAGTGTTCTCTCTGAAGAAGGGGAAAGATGATGCTCTCTGCAGTATCTCAAATCCTCCTCCTCCTCCTCCTCCTCCCCCTCCTCCTCCCAGTGCAGTGGGTGTCACCGCCTGGCACTGTTGGCAGGGGAATCCTAAGGAGGTTAGCTGAGCTGGACACAACACACTGGTCTCATACCAGTCTGGTCTAATACTGATGTAGAGATGAAGATATAAATAAAGTACCTTACATCCAGTTCTATGGAAGATTAGCCTACGTAGCTCCTCAGCTCCTTGATGTTGTTGACAGCTGTCTGTAGCCCGGTAAAGGGTAAATAAACAGTGCAGTAGCCTAACAACCGACACTTATATTGCCTCTGACAGGTGAACAGGAAATTGCCGTTATAACTGTACAGTAAAACGGTTCACATAACATACATCCAACATGTGTCGACAAAATTAGTGATGTAAGCTGCCGTAATTAGTACTGAGTACTGGCAGATACTAAAGTAATTTAACTAATACACTGCAGTAAGATATGTAATGATATGTCTTATGATATCGTAATTAACACAAATAGATTTGTGTCCATCCCCCGAGGAACTGTTCCTCAGTCCCTGAAGAGTTCTCGGCTGCTCCTCTGGTGCCGTTTGCTGTCTGGTCTGGTCTGGAGGAGATGCTGCTTTTTGCCTGGGAAACTGCTGAAGCATTTCCTCCACTGCAGACTGTTTTCCCTTACCATACCTTGTGATGTAGGAAATGAGGCAGCAGAAAAAAAAGACATGACAACAGTTTGGGGCTGGGGGGGAGGAGGGTTTCATAGACCCCCTTGTAGCTTCTTTACTTTTTTTAATCCACGCTGAAAAATGTGACATGGACATTAGAGGAGCTACTTCTGGTTATCGACTTTTTGTTTTTTTAGTCCTGCTGGAAGTTCAGGTAGACTGTGTTTTAGGTTTTTCGAGATTGACCTTTTCAACCAGGAAACTGAGAATCTGTCCCTCTTTGTTACAGTTAGATCACATTCGTCAGGGGTTTCACTTTCATATAGACGAACAAGCAAATGAGACAAAAAAAGACTGCTGATGTAACTCATCAAGAAAATAACTGCGGTTTTTTCTTTAAGTCTTTAACTCTCCTGTTGATCTACATGTTGAATACTACTGCATACTACTACTACTACTACTACTACTACTACTAAAGTCCCAAATTTGAACGTAACCTCAATTTTCATGTAGAGCGGTGTGTGAAAGTAGATGTTTTGTGTCCGTGACACTGCTTTGGGGTAAACATGTTGCATAATAAATTACATACTCCATTTTGGTTAAACCACATCTAAGCATTACTTTGGATACAGGTGTGGACACTGTAGTAGGTCAACAAGCAGCAGCACAAGCAGCAGCAAGTCTCCTTCTCCTCGTCCTGATCAGCTAAAACCTGCATCTCTAGACAACTTTTTTTCTAGTGATGATTTTGGCCACGAAAGGCAAAAAGGATATAAATCTGGGTAAGCCCTAAAAAAAAAAACCTTTCCTAGAGTCCTGCAGAGAATCAAAAATAGACAATATGCCGTTGTTGTAATTATTAATGTAACAGATTTTAAATGAGCAAATATATATTTAGAGGAAATGTCTCATTAGGTAAAGGTTTGTGTTAAACAATAGTGGGCCGTTGGTCACATTTTTATTCTGTGCATCTTCTTGATGTAGTTCATCACGTCCATACTGAATTAAGGGTATTCATTTATATAAAAAATATGTTGTCCTGTTGGGATGGGCCTGGAGTGCTATACCCTTGGGTCAGGCCCACCCTTCTCACAGCAGTTTGACTAATAACAGGAAGCGTGGTTGCTGCTGCAGATGCTAATGAGCAGCTGCCAGAGGCCGGAGACGGTCTGACTGCAGCAGGAGTGTAGTTACATACAGGAAGCCTCTAGAACGTGGGCTAACACTAGCTTCGCTGTAAAATTCTAACTAAGGAGAAATATCAAAAGGTCACATTCACAGTAGACACGGGGGGTAGGTCGGTGGGTGCGGGGGGTTGTGTCTAAACTTATTTGTCTTGGGCCGACTCTCACTTGCGGACGACTGCTATTGATTATTTGTGCAGTAGTTACGCCCTGACACCGCAAGGACACGCATTTCAACCCCAGATTAAAAGAGCGTGTGGAGTCGTCGCCGCTCCATCTCCAGGATCGTATCCCTGGAGAGTGCGAGCGATGACGCCGCTGCTGTGATGTCAATACTGTTGTTGTCATTTACTGGAATAAATGCTGAGTCAGACACAAGCTCACTGAGGAATATTTGTGGATGTTGCAACATGGTACTGTGGTCACTCCTACACCATCTGATCTGTCGATGGAGCCATGGAGCTCTGCTGCCCCTCCTTCCATCTTCAGTGTTTTAATCCAGATGAAAGTCTTCATTTTTGACATTTTTCTGTTGTCAAAAAAAACCCCTCTGTGCTCATCATCTTAGTGTGAAACAAAGCATTTTATCTTCTTCTTCTATGATTTATTTTGTTTGTTTCTCATATTCTCAAGGCCAAAAACAAATAACCTCGAGCGTGTGATAAGCCTGTAGATCTGTTTTTTATTAAGTCTAAACAAACTGGTTGATTTGCTGATCAGTAACAGTTCAGTCTTTAACATATTCATGGTCACTCTAATTTAATGTGGAGGTCAATAAACGCTGCTTCACCAAGTCCTTTTGAATTTCATTTTCCTTTTTCTGCCGTGATCATATTGATGAAAGCTGCCAGCAGTTTCAGTTGTCATTGGAAACAGGAGCCAGAAACAAAGGTTTTGATTTTTAGGCAAGGATGATGACGTTTCTTTATAAAATGGACTGATTTGAATTCAAAAGCTGTTGATAGTTCAGTTTGGCTTCAGTGTTAAAGCTGTGATTTTGATCTTCCCACAGGAGCCTCTATACTGAGTGGGATGTTAGAACTCTGGAGTCAGGATCAGGACTGACTGTAGGAGCATGGTGAAACACCAACCCCTCCAGGTCTATGAGCGACAGCTTTGTTTATCATGCATCACCGGAATCTATGGTTGCCGCTGGAAACGCTACCAACGATCCCACGATGACACGACCAAGGTGAGCGGCGGAACAAATGCCTCCTGAATATAATATAATGTCTTAAACAATGTAACCGACACGAATCACTTTAGAGAGACAAAATGTTTGTTGTCCTGATGATCGACCTGCAGAGTCAGATGTTTGAATTATCTACCTTTTTTAGATAAGAAGTAAAGATTTATTTAATTTATTGGAACATTTTTAAAATGTCACTTTTTCATTTTCATTCCGGTGCCATCCATCCATGGCTTAATAAACGTGGCTTAATAAACATACAGTAACTTAGAAAATGGTTCACAGTTAAACCTGCTTCTTCTCACAGATTGTAATTTTCTCCTGGTTTCTGAGCTCCTAAAAATGCTCTGGTGTTCACCACCACCACCACCAGCAGCAGCAGCAGCAGCTTTCACACACCGTGGTCCCTCGATACCATAACCTGATGTTTGTCCTTCAGTCCACATTGATTCACAAAGAACAATTATCTTTGTACAAATGTGTCCTTGTCCTGGCTTATCATTAGTTCCATAACCTTGATCTTTCCACACAGGCAGTAACTCAAACTGACAGTTGTTTGTTTGGTGCGGCCAACGGCATACTTCATTTGAAACACTTAAAGTTAAATCACGTAAATTAATATGGCTTTACATTATGTTAAGATATTTTAAAGTTAAGATTCTTGTTACATGTTGAAAATAGCATTTTTTTTGTGGCATTTGATCATCTTGATTTTGTGCCAAGACTTTTAAGATTATATTTTTGTATAAACAATGGACATTTTTCTTTTTCAAATCACCCGACTGTCAGAGTATCATAGAGCAGAGAGAATGACTTTGTGTCTTGACTGTCCCTTTAATCTCCCTTTCTTCTGTATTTAACAAGGACACATGGCTCATGTTGCTGCAACATACACCAGACGCACGAACAACGTCGTGTGTTCGAACCCAGAGGTCGGACGATTCACCGTATCGTACTGAAACGAGGGAGACACAACAAACAAAGCGTAGTTTTTGTTCACTGTAACAGAGAGATTACATAAAGGAGCAGCAGAAATATTTATAGACAGATATTGATTTCTGTCTTCTTTTTTTTTTCATTCCTCGTTAGCCGGAAACATGACTCCATGTGGCTGTATTTCCTGCTGCAGGTGGATGTTTTCATGCCGACAGATTGTAATGTGCCCGGTCAGCATTGCTGCCCGTGCTGCTTATCCTGTGTTATGACTGCTTGGTGTTTAATGGCACACAAACGTGCACTTGACTCAAGGTGCCCAAAGTCTGGCACACGTGTTCCTTCATGGGTCGTAGTCCGTTAACGACCATGAGAACAAACACACATGTAACGTGGAAGACGCTGTTGACGACGAGAGTCTTGGGGAGAAAAGATTTGCGCTTTTACACGATGTGATCAACGGTACACGACAAACACATCGTTCTCCGTGACAGGAAGTATTTTTGTTGAGTTTAAAAGTGTATTTATTTCACATCGAGCCACAGAAACAAATGATGACTTGAGGTTATTTTCGTCAAGATTCACATTTAAGGTGTTAAAATAAAGGGACATGTTTGTACTTTAGAAAACTCCAAACAACTGTAAAACTATGAGTTTCTAACTTTTTTAGTATCTGACCAAACATTGATTAGAGAATCGACAGGAAGTATCTGACCAAACATTGATTAGAGAAACAGGTCAAACTTCACAGTTCAGCCTTTTGTTGTACACGTTCTTCACTCACTCAGTGAAAGGGTTTGGACTTTGAAAGTCATTTCTTGTGTTGGGTCAGTGTCAGAGTATGGGCCTTTACTTTCCATTGCAGGTCTGTCTGGCCCGCAGGTCAACGTGACGTCATTCTGGAATGCATACGCAACCCTCCGAGTAAACAAACGGTGACGAGTTAACTGCAGGTATCAGCCACGTGTAATTGAACCTGAGTTAATCACAGAAGCATGTGAACCGCGGTCACGTGTTTCGACCATAATGGATTGATTCACACGCTGTGCCTTGATTTCATCATCGTGAAGCGTTGAAGTCAGGTGGACCGACTGTCCTATTGATGCCGTCTCTGTTTGTCAAAGCCGGTCCTTTGTTTGAGGACGGCTCACGTCATTCGGTGCAAACTGATCTGGCCTCTCAGTAATAATTGAAAGTCTTTCCATTTAGCCAGTCTTTACCATTCAGTCACACACAAGGGTTGAAAATAGGAACAAAGCTTTGTCCTCATTTTGTAAGTGATCTCGTGGCGTTCTGTTTATAATTTCCTGAACTACGACGTTCTACACAAGACAGAACGATAGTCAACGATACTGACGGTGAAAAAAAAAAAAAGTCAATCAGACAACACTGGTGTCACAGCAGTTACTGGACGATGTTCTGTGAGTATTTTAGAAGTCGTTCTTGGTTCTTATTGTTTTTGTCACCTCTGATGAAATTCTCTTCAACCAATCACAGTCATTAAATCACCCCCCTCCCCTCTCTCTTATGACTTTAGCTCTACAGACAGAGTTAGTGTCTTCCTCTGGTGCTTCATTGTTAGACAGTTGACACCCAGTGTGAAATGCCAGGGACTCATGGGGCTTGGCTCAGGAATGTGACAAGAGACTGAGGTGTTGAGCGCAGTGAAGATAGAGGTGGAATATTGAAGCGCACAAGAGACCGAGGCCGTGGTGGAAGAGGAAATATTACGGCAGAAAAATATAATTTAATCCCAGATTAGGATCCGGAGTTTGCAAATACGATGCACCATATTGTTACAGTGGTGTCTCTGTCTGCTGCAACAGAAGTGTGGAGAGGAGAGTCAGGAGGAAAATGTAAAACAGTCATTGATACGCTGCTTCTCTCAACATTCTGTCCAAAAAGAATAGTTTTGTTGTGCGACTGCGTCCATACATTTTGTTTTCATAGAAACTCTTGCGAACATGTTTGCCTCCTGGTTTCACTTGCAAATGAGTTGCAAATCAGAGGCGATATCGCCAGATGCTTTACTTAAATAGTAAGAACAGCAAAAAAACAAAACAGTGTTTGTGTGCAAGTGAGATTTATGTGTGTGCTTCTAAGTAGGTATAAACATGCCCAGGCATGCAGCGGCTGCGTGAATACTGATACTTCAGCAAAAATTATACTGCTTTGGTTCCCAACTCTTTTTGACATCCTGAATTATCTTTAAGGGGAAAGGGAGAAGGGGGGGAGGGTAGAGAGGGAAAGGGAGAGATCTGGGATTGTTCATGCAAAAATATATTTTTGTATTTGTCATTGTAAATATAAACACACAAAGGACGTTCAGTTTCACCCTTTGGTGAAACAGACACACGGAGCTGCACTCTACCAAACCTGTGGATTTCACTGCTCGTTCAGTTGTCCTACTCTTGGAGGGACGTGGGTTTGATTCCAGACCTAAATGCCCACGGACAGCCTTGCTGCTGAGTTGTCAACAGACCATCTACCGTTCTATAACTCCTGGGTCAAAGACCGTCAATACCAGAACCACATTTAGTTATTGAGGAAATACAAAATTGAGAACCTATATTGTTCTTTTTTAACTCTTACCAACAGTTGTCCTTCCTCCCCGTGAAAGCACTCCCACCACTCCCTGTGAGCCTGTGGTGAGTCAGCAGCACATTATAATGACTTATGTTGAATGATACAGGCTGTAAATTCTAGGAAGTAATAATAATATCTTTCACCTGGAGATGATTAATATTCATTCATTCTATTTTTAGAGCTTGCTGTGTTTCAATTTTGTTTCTCTTCTAGTTTAGTTTACAAGGTCTAACGTTTGTTTGTTTGTTTTATCATTAAAATTATTCAAAGTTGTTTTTTTTTTTCATTGAAAATGAACACCAAGACGTCATCGGGGGCAAATAAAAACAAAGTCATGTTGTAGTTGTTGTTGTTCTGTTGAAAAGCGATACTGTTGCTGGATGCTGCACCTAGATTAAAACGCTTCCCATGCAGAATGTTGATGTGATGTGCAGGGCAGGCCAAGTCATGTTAGGACGGACAGGCGCCGCCACCGCTGCTGCTGAGTTAGCTGAAAAACTCAACCGTTTGTTTGGATTTTTCCAGTGACTGACATTTCAAGTGTTTCTTTTAAAAAAAAAAAAACGCTCCTGTTGGTTTTACCAAAACAGATTTCACAGCAGATTTACTCAAAGATATGAGACACACCATTTAATCACAAACATCATATATTTATGTATGTCAACCAATTAGTATTAATTTTCTTAAGATCGGTGGCAACATATACCTGAGGTCAAATCCATGGTTCGAGGTGGGGAATCATGACTGTCAGGGAGTGGGAGTGGGAAGATGTCAACGCTCTAGGGTTGGGTTAGATTCCCCAGGTGTGTTCAGGTACTCAGAGGACCATGGGAAACGGTGCCGCTGCTTTATCATCGATGAGCAGGAAGCCCTGGTTAGACCACCTCACTGATTGATTTGCAGTTTGACAGTTTGACATGTCAAAATAGTCGAAGCTCAACCGTGTAAACGGGTTGGACCAGCTGCCATACCTGTGTCTGACCTTGAAGAGATTGAAGAGATAGTCAGAGATGATCTTTGCACATGACATAACATGGATGACATCACTGAGGTGTGCAGAATGTCCACAGACTGGTAATCTGACAGCTGCTCCTGATTCACTGGGTTCATAGAGCAGAGCCTAAAAGACTGACACACAAATGTACTTGGATTTATAGAAAATATTTAGATCAAAATTATGTTGATTCCTAATGTTTAGCAATTAATTTTTTAACCTTCATGGAAGTGCGACTAGTCCTGAAAATGTGTTATGTGTATTGTCGTTGTTGTATATTTGAAACAATTTATCTGTATATGTGTCTGAATGATTTAATAATGTGTTGCTAATTATTAATTGAATCTTTTCTTCTCTGTGTGTGTTGACAGTGGGAGCTGCTGTGGTCCCTCGTCCTCCTGTTGACCTTCTGTCTGCTGCTCGTGTGGTTCTACTTCTGGTGGGAAGCCCATAATGACTACAGTGAATTCAACTGGTGAGTTCCCAGCTCCATGAACAGGAAGTGGTTGTTGTTGGTCAGGTAGAAATCTGTCAATTGATCGTTGCCGGTCGCCAACGTTGCGTAGAAGTTATTGGCAGTAAATGAATCGCAGCGTTCAGACCAATGAAGTGAAACTGGATCACCTGACGGACACTAATGTGTCGCAGCACGGTGGTTGGGAATCACTGCCCCAAACAGTCTGATCAGTCTGGACTGTCGTTCCCTGTTGTCTCTGATTATCAGTGTTGTCATTCTCTGCGTTTCTTCCTGGTTCATCTGGGCCGTCGTAGATAGTCACACACACACACACACATCACATACTTGCTCTGTGTGTGTGCGTTCTGGTGATTCAGTGGCAGCGTGTGTCCGTTCCCCACCTGTGGTTTAAATGCAACCACAAAGGACTGAGAGCATGGAGCTCTGAGTGACCCAGCTGCAGCTCTGTGACACTGATAAGGCTGTGAATGTAATTAGTGCTGCAGGCCCTAGATGTCATGTCAACACACACACACACACACACACACTGACACAGACAAAAACACACGCTCAGAGAGAACGGAGGACGACTCTTTATGTCGTTGCGTCGCAGCTGTAAACCGTTTGATTAACGCACACGCAGCTTCACCACTGACAGTAATTGCAGTGAGCTCCTCCACAGAAATAAACACGGACGAGTCGTGAGTCTAGTGATTCTCCTGCTGCGACATGTTCAGTGTGGAACATGTTAACAACCAGTTCAGCAACCGGCGTTCCTGACGTTTGTCGGCCAAACTAAACCACGTCCCACGCTGTGTGCGCCGCGGATAAATATACAGCTCTGTGACACAACACAACCAACCTTCACTCCATCAAGTGTTTATTAACTCTTCTTCATCCCACAGCCTCCGAGTCAGACACTGAACTAATGAGTAACTCACACCGATCTTAAACTGACCTTAAACAGTCACTGACGTGTCTCTGAGGAAACGAAATGTTCTAACGCTGTGTTTGTTGAAAAATCAATCTGAGATTGAAATAAGCTTTCAATCATTGTTTTAGTCAATCTTTTACAAAAAAAAAAACAGCCGGTCCTCTTCCCTCAGATTCCTGTCCTGACATAACCGTCTGCTGCCTGTGTTTTGTTTGAGTTTATTGCAGCAATAAAACGTTAAACTCTAGAGGGCACGAAAAGCCGCCTATAGATTTACAGTTCCTGGAAATGCCAGCAGTCCTCTTTATAGTTTATGAGTTTAACCTTATTTTAATCCATCATATATAGTAGGTTCACACCAGTAATGTACAGTAACTCAGTCATTTCACCTCAGGTTTAGGTTCGGGGTCGTGGTAAAAGTCGATGTTAAAAATTCCCCACAGAGACACAGAGCATTCCATGAAGCCTTTAAATGAGTTCTGGAAAAAAAAACAAAAAACCCTGCAGGTAAAACAGAACCATTATTATTCTCTCTGTGTGTCTTTGTCTTTCATTCCTGCAGGTTCCTCTACAATCGCTCCGGGGAGTGGAGTGACGGCACCGTTCCCATCCTGGCGACCACTGCTGCTGGCTTCACATATATTGCATTTTTAATGGTTTGTCCCTCAAACACAACAGACTTTGTCTTGTCGAGACGGCTTTGTAGTCATGTCTCTAATGTGTTGCCAAACAAAAAGAACATGATCACATGATGATGCTGAGCAAGTCCAGATCTGTGAGGCAGATGTTTCTCTTAATGTTCTCTCTCTCTCTCTTTTTCCATTTGTTTGTTTGTGTGTTTTTATTTGTTTCAGGTTTTAGCACTTTGCCACATTGCACTCGGGCAGCAGTTAAATTTGCACTGGCTTCATAAGGTAACGTTAAAACCGACCGACCGTCAAACCGTGTCTGTGTGAGTGTGGCTGCTGAGAAATTAGGACGTGGAAAGAAATGGGTCAGCAAGATTTATAGATGGGCTTTCTCCAGAAATGGGTCAGCAAGATTTATAGATGTGCTTTCTCCGTGAGTGTGTGTGTGTATACCTGTGTGTGTGTGTGTGTATATATACCTGTGTGTGCGTGTGTGTTAGCTGAACTTGAGCTTGGTTTATCTTGTCCTTGTTGGTGCGTTGAAGCCTTATTAATGACCCGTTGAATGATCCGCTTCATCGTCAAACCAAATACAGGAAATAACCGACCGTGCGTGTCCAACTTTGGACTAGCGGCTTTCCTTCCTGTTGGCACTAACCGACCTGTTCGTTTATGTAAGTCTCTCGTCACATCAACAAGTTCGAGTGCTTTGTGCATTTCGTACATGCTGCACATTTTTATCTGTCAGACGGCAAAGACACATGCCGTTCCCTGTGGCTTCAGTGTCGTCTGAGGACAGGTGACAGATTCTGATTGGCTCCAACAACAACGTGTGCTGCTGTGTTTGTTTCTTAAAAATGGAATTCCCATAAATGTTGGTGCACTTTAGAATTTAGAAATTAAAAAAATATATATATTTCTTACTAACTTGATACTAGATAATTCAAGAGAGAAAGAGAACTTGATTATACTGTATTTAAAACATTGACTAAAGGGTCATTTTTGTTATTTTTAGGAATGTCCGATATTGACTTGTGTTATTTTTAGGAATGTCCGATATTGAGTTGTTGCCGATATTGTCCAAACTTTTCCGATACTGGTATCAACCAATACCGACACAGGCCTGGTGATATTTATTTATTAATCTGTACAAACCACTGTATGAGTATGAAGTTAATTAAATGAGCTGCAATGCTGCCATCTAGTGACTTTCACTTTAATATACAGCTGTTCATCACCAAAACTATTTTTAGGGTACACATCGTTTGACCAAACCCATATATTGTGTCATCAGGTTTTCATTATTGGATGAAAAATCGATAACAATTTTTCCAGATTTTTACACTAGATAAAATGCTAATATCGGACGTCCCTAGTTATTTTATGTGTGAGAAAGTCTGTTTGTAAATACTGACTTCCAATCAGCATCTCCTTTTGCTCCGTCCGCACAGATTGGAGTGACCGCTGCTTTGTTCACCACCGTCGCTGGAGTGATAGCCATCAATCAAACATGGGGACAAGAGTGGGACGTCATCCCCATCTCACTGCAGGTCAGCAGAGAAACAGACGGGAAACTCAAACCACTCAGTCATTAATTCATAATTCACATTTCTAAACTACAATCGATCCCCTTCATACAGTAACTGCCCCCCCGCCCGTGGTCCACTGCACCACTGTATGTATAGTCTGACACTCGATCTTCTAGATTTTCTCCTGCGAGAAATTTCATTGAAACACCATCCTTTAAATCCAGGCGTGCTTCACACGGTCACTGCTGTGACTGTGATGTATTTGCATAATAAAATCAAGTGTCTCTGCAATTAAGGTTCTTGTTTCAGCAGCGGAGCCCGAGTCTCAACCCAAGATAATGTCTGTAATTCCACGCCACTCTTCTCTCCTCTCTTTGTTTCCTTCCCTCATCTCCTTCACCTTATCTTCTCCGTCTCTAATCTAGGCTACAGGTCCGTTTCTGCACTTCGGGGCTTTAGCCGCTGCGACGGCGCTGTCGTGGATCGTCGCAGGACAAGTCATGCGTGCAGAAAAAACAAGTACGTCGACTTTTTTTTTTTTTTTTTTTTTGCGGCAATGTACAACAGTTACTTCTACGTAGCGTTCCAGTGTGACAAAAAGAGGTCCAGGACGAGTGGTGAATGATTGACTCCGTGTAGACAGAGGCCACGACCTCCACCCTGGGTGTCGCAGATAATGAACATTCCCTGAGGCTTACTTGGTGCATAGCTGTCCTTACACATTTGATTGTGTGCTTTTCAAGTGCGGCGGCTGTGTGTGTGTGCATGTGTGTGTGTGTGTGTGTGTACTTATTTCACTTCCAAATAGAAAAGATAAGAAAACAGTTTGTTAAAACATGTTTATTAAATCCTAAATATTGTTTTAAAACCTACACATTATGACAAGACTGTCTTTAAAAGAGTTTATTATTTTATTTCAGTTTCGAGGTCATTGGCTGTCTGAATCAGGGCTGTCCAACATACATGCCACAGGCCAAAACCAGCCCACTAGGGGGTGCCATCTGGCCTGGCTTGAAGAATTTTGAAAATAAAAAAAAAATGCACAAATGCTTTATTTTTTTTTTATGTTGTATTTCATTAATATCAATAATTCTAAAGATGATCAATTTAACCCCAAAAACCGTTTATTTATCTGTTGGTAACGACTGTGATGTTTTAAAAAACACAGTTGCTTTATTAATCTCCAGTCAGAGAGAGATTTTTTTTTTTTTTTTTTTTTGTCTTCTGCAGCATCTCTGCTGTTCTGCAGACAGAGTTCCCATCATGCTTGTGTGCTGTGTGTGTGTGTGTGTGTGCGCTGTGGATTTCCCATGTGTAACAGGAGTTGACTCTCCAACCCCGCCCCAGAGCTGACCTTGAAAGGAATACATTCCTGTGTGTTTGTGCCTGTGTGTGTGTGTAGGCAGACTGCAGCCTTCATCACTGACGTGGACAGAGACAACACTGTGTCTCCATGTGTCTCCTCCTGATGTCAATGCATTGATTTATCCAAAGTCCTAAGTAGTGTTGTATCTATAACCATTCCTGTCTGGACACTGGTTCTCCGTGGACGTTTCTGATATTCATATTTATATTAAACACTTTATATCAAATCAAATACTCAGGTTGATATTGTTAAAAATTATTTGGTCAGAAACTGAGTGTTTACCAAGGCCTGGAGATGAAACATTTCAGGGGTTTTGGATTACAGATTCAGCCTTGTCCCCGTGTGTCACACAGTCCAGTGGACATCTGTCCAGCAGTAACACGATACGAAACAGAACTCCTCGCAAATAAATACGATATCACACCTTAAATAATGAGCTTCACAAGAGTAATTGGGCCGTAGAACAAGTCTGTGTGTGTGTGTGTGTTTCAGCCACGGGAGAGAAAAAAAATCTGTTCACGTCCGGTGGTTTGTGCCGGTTTCTCAACCTTTGCTGCAATGTGTGTGTGTGTGTCAGTATTCCAGGTGGTCATCATGCTGCTGTACCTCAGCGTGCTGCTGGGACTCTACGTCCTCCCCCTCTACATCACCTCCCCCTGCATCATGGAGCCGGCCAACCTCAGCCCCCGTCCTGATGTCATCGGTCACCAGGGAGCCCCCATGGTAAGACGGCTGACACCACCTCAGAGAAAGAAAAGAGAATTTCCTTTATGAAATAGAGAACGATGAGAACGAGACGAAGACTTTTTTTTTTTTTTTTTCATTTTGCCGCCTTTATTATGACCATTGGTCCCACGATGTGGCGTTATCCATGAAAGATTAGACCAGTCACAGCCTAGAGCTGTCAGATTTCAAGGTAAAATGAATAAATGAAAAAAAAATTAAAACATACATCTTGTTGTTAGTAGCGGAAGAAATGTTCAAGGATAACGGTAAAAAATACATCTTGTTGTTAGTGGTGGGAGAGATGTTCAAGGATAACGGTAAAATATAATAATCTAACATCTAGAGTCTTTATTTTTTTTCCCTTGGCTGAAATTGGATTAAAGATGAATTTCAGTGAATAATTTACTGCCTGTTCTTGGCCTGAAAAACTGCTCAGGGTTGTGTAACATTTGGAAGAACAGAGGAGTTGGATTGCTCTGGTAAAATCACTCTTAGCACACTATCATGAAATCTAAATATAGCAGTCACCGTCTGGGGGTTGGGGAGGGGGAGGAGGGGGTTGGAGGGGTTGAAAAAATCCCATGACTTGACTCAGTTTCCCAGAAGGAGTCCATATTGATTTTGCTTGCAGCATTCCCAGTTATTATCTTTACTCATAAGGTCTCGTGGGATGAAGAGTCTCAGGTGAACGCGGTTCTGTCCACGTGTATTGACGTAGTTTAACCTTGACTGGAGCAAATAACATCACGCTGATTTTTTTAATGACGTGTCTTTTTGTTTTTGTTTTTTTTTTTTTTTTACGTCACATTTTCACCTGCGGAGAGCTACAATGTGGAAAAATCAGATGAACATCCACGTGACGATGGTGTGTGTGTTGTGTGTGTTATGTTATCAGGGGTGTGAGAAAATATCGGTACGCCAATATATCACGATATATTATGAGTTTCACGATACCGTATCTGAGACTATGATGACGATTCTTTCCTATATATATATACATATATATATGTATATATATATAAATTTTTTTATTATTTTATTTTAAAAAAAAAAATTTTAATTTTTTTTTTTTTTCCAGGTTGCTCCAGAAAACACACTCTGGTCATTCCAGCGTGCTCTGCAGATGAATGTCACTGGACTGGAGGCTGATGTTTCCATCAGGTGAACACACACACACACACACACACACATATTTTGTTTTATTAAAAATTTAAAACAAGAACCACAGGGTGTGAGTCCCAGATATAAACTACATCAGTGAAGCATAAGTCCAAGGCATCGATAACATAACAGGAGGTGACAGGCTGTACACACACACACACATATACAGGAAGTAACACACTCGCACACTCTTGTGTGTAGCGTGTGTCAGTGGGGGGGTTACAGTGTGTGTGTATAAATGAGAGAAAGTACACTCCTTTCAGTGTGTTGTCTGTACTGTTGATGCACACGTTAATTCTTACTCAAATTAGTGACGCACCGATCCAGTGTTTGGATTCAAATACTGCCCCCTCCCCATTGTTATCAGGACTGGAAAAGGAGTAAAATGTAAAACAAGTACAGTACTTTCATGTAAGACCAGTTGTATTCTCATAAAAAGGTAACAGTACTCTTTACAGTACTCTCACCCTCCTCTTCTCCAGAGTCGTTATAAACCTGTGTCTCTGTGACAGGACGTCTGTCGACCTTTAACCTCTTCTGTCTCTCGTCACCAGTTCTGATGGAGTTCCTTTCCTGATCCACGACCGCACGCTGCAGAGAACCACAGACGTGGAGAAGGTTTTCCCAGACAGGCAGATGGAGGACGCCTCATTCTTCAACTGGACTGATCTGAGGCAGCTCAACGCAGGACAGTGGTTCCTAAAGGTACGACATACTTTGTGTATTTTTTTTTTATTTTATTTTTACACAGCTCACAGCTCATTCTGTCTTGGGGAAAATATTTTTATCTACACGTGTCTCTGTGTACCAGTTGTGTTTTAATACTGCACACATTTGTCAGATCAGTTGTCACATATACAACCCAGTGATGCTCTGTTCCTGTGTGTAAGGACGACCCCTTCTGGACAGTGGACACGTTGACCGTCAACGAGACAGCACGGGTGGCCAACCAAAGCGTGTGCAGCCTGGAGCAGCTGCTGAAGTTGTCCTCATACCACAACACCACCGTGGTCTTCAGGCTCAGGAGGCCCCCTACAGACCATCCCTGTTACTACAGCTGGATCAACGACACCCTGGGGGCCGTTCAGCGATCGGGGATTCCTCAGAGTCTGGTAGGTGTCGTTGTGATAACGTCAGGTGAATCGACGGTTCGAGCCTTATCCCCATCTAACGTGTGTGTGTTCTGCTGTGTTCAGGTGATGTGGACTCCAGATGAACACAGAGACCAGGTGAAGCAGCTGGCTCCTGATCTGATCCAGACCTCGGTGGAGAAAAGGAGTCCTCAGCATCTGCAGCAGTTGGGCATCAGCAGTCTGCTGTTACGATACAACCCAGTCATCACACAGGAAATCAGGTCAGACACACACACACACACACACTTGTTTGATTTTGTTAGAATTTTTTTTTTTTTTTAAATCAGTTGACGGTTGGTGTTCAAATTGTTTCAGTGAATTTGTCGAGAGCCACATCAACCTGACCCTCTACACTGTCAATGAGCCCTGGCTCTACTCCGTCCTGTGGTGCAGCGGAGTGTCCTCGGTGTCCTCAGAAGCCCCGCACATCCTCAAGAAGGTGCCTTACCCCATCTGGCTCATGGTGAGAATCCATCAGAGCTTTTTTTTAAGCACAGAAATAATGAAAATTGTGTGAAGGAAAAAAACGAGTCCAAAAACACAGACTGTATCAAAGAAATTAATTGATTTCAATTAAGGATTTCACACAACAAAAATATAAAAAATCTTGACCTGCCTTGTATTTGCACTAGATTTACTTTAAAACTGTGAGTTTTTTGCAGTAATAATTCTTTTATAATGTAGACGTAATGACCAGGTGGAATAATGTGTCATATACCGCCACCTATTGGTGGACAAAATGTAACATTTTCGCTTGTGTGTGTGTTTTCAGGGCCCACATAAGTACACCCTGCTGTGGGTTTCTGCTGACGTCATCTCTTTCGCTGTAGTCATAGGAATCTTTGTTTTCCAGAAGTAAGTCCAGACACACACACACACACACTGAGGCCAGTGACTTTGCAGCAGTTGTTGTTTCTGCATCTCTCCACACGGTGGAGCTCGTGTTGAACATGCATGCGCGTGCGCTCTCCGACACAGAACCACACGTCGGCACACATCGATGTACGACCGTGAAGTCATCCTGACAGAAAACCTTACACAGAACTGCAGTTAGATTTGTAAAAAAAAAAAAGTACAAAGGTCTTTGATGATTTTCGTTGACAGTTACTACACGTCATGTGGTTTTGATGAGTGGTAATAGTAAATGTTACTGTTAAACACAGGAGTATTCGTTCAGTACACATTATCAGAAGACAGAAATGTATGTTTGGTCTTGTTTGTTTTCACGATGCCTTGCAGGTTTTCCTATGCTCACTGCAGCTCGACAGCGCCTCCTGCTGGTCTCCAAACTGACCTCTCTTTGTCTCCTGCCCTTTCTTTTTTCCTCCTTTTTTCTCCTCCATCCTCGTCCTCTCTCTTCTGCCTGATGTGCATGCTCTCCTCTTCCTCTGCTGCATTCCTCTGGCATCCTCTCTCAGCTATCACATGATCAGGTAACTGGGTCGCCTCCTCTGACCCAAACTCTTCTACCGTTTCATCCTGTCCTCTGTCTGGTCTACT